AATTCCATATAATCTATAGTGACAGAAAGCTTATCAGTGGTTGCCTGGAGCCAGTGGTAGGGGTGGGGATGAATACAGGATGGGACAAAAAGGAACAGTTTGGAGTGATGAAAGTGTTCTACATCTTGACTGCAGTGGTGATCTCACAGATGTATGAATCTGTCAGAATTCATCAACATGTTCACTAAAAATGGGTGCATTTTATTGCATGTAAACTATACTTCAGTAAAGTCAATTAAAAACACAGATCAATGGGATATAATAAAAAATCCAGGGGCTTCCCTGGTGGCGCAGTGGTTGAGAGTCCGCCGGCTGATGCAGGGGACAGGGATTCGTGCCCTGGTCCGGGAAGATCCCACATGTCGCGGAGTGGCTGGGCCCGTGAGCCATGGCCACTGAGCCTGCGTGTCCGGAGCCTGTGCTCCGAACAATTCGTAGAATAAGGTTGAAAATTAGAACTGCAGAGAAGTTCAGAAATAGAAACCAAAAAAAAAAAAAAAAAAAAAAAAAAAAATCCATAAAAAGTGCACTATAAATACAGATGCTCAATTTATGACAATCACGGCTCAGCATACAACACTGAATTACGGATGGTCTAAAAGAACAAAAAAGGGATGAGGATTACTGGATAACCCTGTTGGAATTAAAAAAAAAAAAGCCAAAACGCCCCAAAACTTAACGTTTATTTTACATCTCATCCAGAAATTAATTCCAGGTAAAATTTAAATCTAAATCTGAAAAGTGAAACAAAATTTCTATAGGATAACAGGAGAGTATTTTCATGACCTTGGTCAATCAAAGTTTATTAAAAGGACATAAAAAGCACGAACCATAAAGAGAAAGATTGATCAAATGGATATATTAAAAGTAACAACTCTTCATTAAAAGATCCTTTCAGAGAGTGAAAAACCTTAGTCACAGAGTGCGAGAAAACATCTGCAATGCTCAGAACCAACGAATGACTAGTATCCGGAATACGTACACAACACCTACAAATCAATAAGGATATGACTGATGACCCAACAGAAAAATGAACAAGATTCTCAAACAGGCAACATATCCAAATGACCAATAAACATATGAAAATGTGTTCAATAGCTTTAGTCATATGGGAAACAGAAATTAAAACCAGAATGAGGTACTACTGCCCACCCTCCAACACAGCTAAAATTTGAGACTGATAATACCAAATGTTGCAGCTGTTATGGAGCAACCGGAACTCCCAAACACTGCTGGTAGGAATTGGCGCAATACTTTACAAGGTAGCTACTAGAGTTAAGATACATATTCCTTCTGACCCAGGAATTCCACTGCCAATTGCCAAAGAAATTCCATACATATGGGCACAAAAGACACGTACGAAAATGTTCATAGCAAAATTGTTTGTAATAGCCTCAGACTAGAAACAACCACAATCTCCAACAACAGAATAAACTGTGGTATATTTATCCAATGAGTTACTTACCATACAGAGATGAAAAAGAATAAACTATTATTACATGAAATGACACAGATGAATCTCACAAGGTTTGAATAAAATAAGCAGATACAAAACAATACCTACTGGTCTAATTCCATTTAAATAAAGTCTAAAAAAAAACTATAGTGTTAGAGGCTTATTAAAAAAATAACAGTTGCTAAGAAATAACAAATGCTTACCATATGCCAAGGACCATTCTAACTCATTTTTATGTGTTTAACTCAACTTTCACAACACTCTGTAATGAGATGCAACTTATTCTCCCAAATGTGCAAGTTTAGTCACAAAGAGGTTAAATAATTTGCTCAAGGACACACAGCGACTACGTGTTAGACCTGGAATGCGAAGGCAGCTAGCCTGGCTTGAGAGCCTGCATTCTAAACGCTACACTGATGCTCAGTGGTAGCGCTTTACTGAAAAGATGGGGGGAGGGCAAATGAGCAGAGGGAGGTGGGAGAAGTAGAATGACTAATGCCCATCTCTCAAGAAAACAATCAGTAGATAATGCCTAAAATTTGGTGATGGGGTGGGGGAGAAGAGAGAAGGGATCAAGAATTAGCAGTATATGCATGTTACGAAAAAATCTGGAGGAAAGATCAGAAAAAAGCAGCTAAACAACATCACAACAGTAGTTGCCTCTAGGGAATGAGTCAGAGTGGACCAGGGGACTGTTAACTTATAAGCCTTACTGATACAGAAAAAAACCACATGCACATTACTTTGCTAAAAAATTTTTTCAAGATTTTAAAAATATGTAAATATTTTTAAAAACAACAATGCTATCATGTATTGAGCCCCAGTGTCCCTGGCATTTAGCTAAACATTTTAAATACAGTATCTCATGGAATTCCCCTAACAATATGGAATTGGTGCCAGTATTACTATGATTTTGCTGATGGGGAAACGGATTCAGGGTTAACTAGCTGGCAGGTGGCTGAGTCCATGTCGGAACCACCACGAGGGAAGATGAAGGTCTCGAAGTCAACAAAGAACAGGTATGGAAGGATATTCAGGAGGAGCCCTGGACAGGAGCTGGTGACTCATGCTGGCTTCAGGGAGGGGAGGCGACATTAGGAGGGGGATCTGAGAAGGATGCCCAGGTTGCTGGCTTGGGTACCTGAGGACACGTTGGTCCTTTTCTCTTCCACAAGGTCCACGGAAAGAGGAGCAGAGGGCCGAGCCTCTCATGGGGAGTTTATGAGCTCAGTCACAAATACGCAGAGCCCCTTAGTGTTTGGGAAAGTCACTCTATGGAGGACGCACTGTGGGGAAGACCAAACACGTATGAACTCAGCAGGGGGTGGGGCGGGGCGGGGGAGAAGACTGAGAGGGATGGTCACGGACCCAGGGAGAGTAGGAACGTCTGGGGCCTGGCCCTGCTTCCTGCCCAGCCTCTGGGCCACCCATCCAATGTGCCCTGTCCCCGACCCTCACAGCTCCTGCTGTCCCCCGTGCTACTCACTGCCCTCAACACCACCAATCGTTACCTTCCACTCTTCAAAAACTGTTTTTCGAAATACAGTCCACTCATCTTTCAATATTGAAATGTCAGGGCTTCCAAGCGCCTCACACCCTCACTGCTCCCCTCAGGAAGCAGTCATGCCCTTGGGCCTGGGTGAGGCCCCGGCTACAGGCTCTCACAGGTGCTCCACATTCCTCCTCTGGAGCACAGAAAATGGTCGAAGAAATCACTTCCTGTACTTTAGTTACAGAATATGTCTCTCTCCTTCTAGGAGAGGTTCATGAGGGCAGGAGGGGCTGGCAGACTTTTTCTGAAAAGGTACAAATAGTAAATACTTTCAGCTTTGCAGGCCACAGGGTCTTGGTCACAACTATTCAACTCTGCCATCATAGCCCGAAAGCAGTGCAGACAACATATAAATGAACGGCTGTGATGTGTCACGGTATCACTTGATCTACAAAATCAAGAGGTGGGCCAAACGGCCACGGTTTGCTGAGCCCTGGTCTAAATCACCAGCCCCCAGTCTAACATCCGGCATACAGCAGGCACTCAGTGAATGAAGAAAGAAAGAAAAAAGCCGTTGCTTTGGCAATGAGATGGAAACAGGTACTGAGGGGAGGTGGTTTCAGTGGAACGGTGGGGTGGGATGGAGACAGCAGGGGGCTGAGAAGCAGCAGCTGAGGAAGCAGGAAGTCCTCTTTCCGGAGCCCCCCGTTTGGCCAGCAGGCTTGCGGGACGGCCCTGTCTTTGGGGAGCCTGTCTGCAGGCTCTGACAGGGGAGAAGGCAGGGCTCCAGAGCTCAGGTGTGTGTGGGGCTGGTTCTGAAGGAGGAGGACACCTGCTGAGGACAGAGGAACGAGGACTGTGGAAGGGACGAGGGGGAAGCCTCGGATCCTCTTCCCTGTGACACGTGCGCCTGGACCGCTTGGTGAAGAGAGCGGGGCTCGGGGAGGTGAAGAACCCCGGCGCCGGTGGGGCTGCGAGGGCTGGCCTCCCAGGACAGGGCCGCAGGCCTGAGGAAGACCCTCCGCCTTCCCTCTCCTCTGGTGAGACAGCACTTCTAACCAAGCTGGCGTTTTGGTTTTTAGTGCTGCCTAGTGTGAGGTGTGTCACTCACTGAGTCACTAGCACAACCTGCTATCACTTCCTGTCCCTTCACTTTCCCATGCGGGTAGTGACAGGCAGGCCCAGAGGAGGATGAGTTCACACTTCAAACATGTAGACGTACCCAGTTCTTTCTTGAAGGATACTGAAAGGCATTTTAATTTCAGAGAATTAGTGGCTGTTTCATCTTGGTGCCTTCAAGTGTGTATGTGTATGCTGTAAAGTACTTCCCGATTAGGCAGAACAGAATTTTTCTTTAAATGGAAGATACCCCTCGAATGAGGCTTTGCATAGTAGCTATCTAGTCTTACAAGCCTAACAAAGTATTCACACCCACGAAACACAACTTCTCACAGAGAAAGTATTAATATTATGATATTTAACCGGCCTGAAAAGTTTTCCCAGAGTCGAAAACCGACAGCCAGTCAATTTCACTTATTCTAAGACCCAGATACCCGGAAAAAACTTCCATTTTGACATTAATTTGTTAATTCTTTACTGCTATTGGAACGTGTAGTAGCAGTGCTGGAACGTGTGAGAAGGGTTTGGACCCCAAACTATTTTTTACGAAGAACTGAAGTCACCTAAAATATCTTTTAGGTGACATGCCGGGGGAAATAAAAGTATTAGGGCCTGTTTTCTTCTGCCTTATTTCAAGGTGTAATTGCTGTTACTATTCATAGATCGAAGGCTCGATGTATATTCTAACAAGTAAAACTTTAATTCATACTTTCATTTTGAGGTTTTCATTCCTCACAAATCAAAAGACAATTTTCCTAAAACACATCAATCCTCACTCCACCATTTCAAGTTCTTCTAGACATGATGGGAACCACTGTCTCCAAATGCACTAGAGTTTAAAATGGGGATGCCTAACCCCTGTAACACAGCCTTTATTTGAATGGACTTTTCAACACACCTTTAGATGCACATTCAATAAACTTGATCTCTTACCCTATTGTTGGGTTGATGTTCGGATCAAAACTGTCTTCCACGAACCGCCACACAATACTTGATTTACCTACACCTGTATCCTGAAAGAGAATGAGAGGTGAAGAAGAAAGTTTTACATGCTTGCATACACCAAAAACTACCTTGTGCCCGAAGTTCAGGAATTTTGGGAAAATCATTCCAGATATAGGTAAATTTCAGAAGTTAAGAAACACAAAAAGGTTTTCATAAAAATTCAGTGGAGTAACTAGGAGATTTCAAAATGTATTGTAGGAGAGGGGTTCCAAGTTTTTAAGAGACAGGATCTTCTGAAAGATCCAAAGTTTCTGCTTACTGTGCAAAGTGACAAACTCACTTGCTTTATAATAAGTCTAAGTGAACTATGAACTCTTGAACTACTGAGTAATCCCTGATAAATCCCAGCCCCACCCTATCTAGGAAGGGGGAAGACTAGTTATTGAAATCTTTTTCAGTCTTTAAAGCAGCAACTCAGGCAACAGAGCATCAATTTCAGAAAGTATGTTCTGAAATAGCAAAGTTGCCTTGACAAGTCAGGAAGCTGAAGCTTCACACTAGTCTTTGGGGCTTCCTGATTTGAATGTGCCCCCGCCCGCCCCAAGGAAAGTAACTCTGTGAGAAGGGTCAGAGGTATCCCACAAGTTCAAAAACACCAAGCAGATGGCAAAGGAGACTCTACTGCTGCTCGTAAAACCTAAAGACCTGTTACTGGCTGTACTTTGCAAGACTTGGCCAACTCCTAACTAGGACCTGGGGAAGCTATTTAAGAGCTGCTCTTAACCCAGATGCAATGGAGAGGCAGGGAGGGCTCTTCACCCTTTGGGTGGCGGGAAGAGACCCTGGGCTCCAGGGAGGGACGAAGGGGAAGGTCCCTCCCGCCAGCAAAACCTTCG